TAATATTCATTTTAATTTTTTAATATTTATTTTAATTTAATTATTTAAATATAATATAAATATGATTAATTCAATTAAATTTTACATTCGATATGTATAACTACATCTTTAATTTTTTTATATTTAATTTTGGATTAAAAAACAATAATTTTTTAATAAATATATTCTCCAACAAATTAAATTAAAATGTATACCAATTACTTTCTTATTATTATTAAGTACTCACATTTTATTTGGAGGGCAATTTCAAGTACTCATATTATTAATATTTCATTTTTCATATAGAAATGCTATTAGGAACTCCCATTCCAGTCACTCCAGGCTCCGAAAACGGCTTCAATAACTCATAAGGCACAATCCCAGCCCCACTTCTGTTCTTGAAACTCATATTACCATTCCTTTCATCAATAATCCCTTCAATCACCTTCAACCTCCCACTAAACCTCTCGAACGCCGCCTTTATCACCGGATTCTCCCCCCACACCGCCTCCATTTTCTCCCCCAAGTACTCCTCATCTGGTGAATGATTCGACAGCACGTCCAAAACCGCCATTATCCTTGTAGCCTGAAGCCTCGAAGGAAAGCACCTAAGAAGCACCGCCTCCGGTTTTCTCAAGAAGAATTCCCAATCTTCTTCTGTGGGGTCCTCCGTCGGCATTTTGATCCTTGCAATAGTTGGTCTGTTGGGGAAGTATCCGGCATATGCGTACTGTCCGAAGTTGACAGCGGCGTGGTGGCCCGAAGTTACCCAGATCATGGTGGTTAGGATGTCAATAAGGTTTTGTGGGGTTTTGAGCTCGGGCCACCATGGTTCGTCCTTCTTATCACCGTGGCCTACTGTTCGGATTTCCGTCCACCATGATTGAAGTTCTTGGTCTGATTCAACTAATTCTGCGTTCGGAAAGTAATGGTTGACGTAATCCGTAACCCATTCTTTGATGGCATCCCATAGAAGCAGACCATCGTTAGCAAATGGGTAATCTTTGATTGCTAGCCTTAGGCCGTGAGGTGCAGTTGGATCTTCGACGGCCATTCCCCTAAACAATCACAAAAATAAACAAAGATAAGGACCAAAATAATACTTAGAAAGAAGATGAAGGGCATATTAGTAGTCAACTAATTAAGTATCGATTCCGTGGGTATCCTCAATGTTTTTTTATCATAGTTCAATTAAGTCTGTAACATTTTGAGGACCCAATTTTTCAATCCAAACTTGGGGCCCAAAAATTTGAATACACCATTTAGGCAGGGCTCATAACTTTATATGATGAAATGGGACTACTCCCAATTCAAATTGTAGACTTTTTATAGCCCCAAGTTTGGCTTTAAATAAATTGATTATTAAAACATTTACTCATAATTATTATTATTTATGTTGAACTCACAATTCAAATTTCTTAATTTTACTAGTCATAAAAGAGACTAAGAACCCAATTATTGTGTCCCTTACCATTTTCTCTCGTTCTAGACTTCAAGGTATTGTATATTGGCAAAAACTTACACAACTAATTAAAGCAATCAGTAAATTACTAAAGATTAGAGACCTTATTGTCATAGTCAATAAGTTAAGGACCTAATTGAACTATTGTCAAATGTTTGGGACACCATAAAATCTACCCCTGACAACAAAAGATATGTTGAGTAGCAACTGTTTACCTGTTGATTAAATCTGCAGGCAATGCTTCAAGGTCAAAACGCCATTGTAGGTCATAAGCAGCAGAGCAAAGTTCCATCGAGTACTTCCCAGGGGTGAATGAATTTTCAATGATCCCATTTGCATTTATCAGCGATTCCCGAGCCAGTGCATTGATCTCCATGGTGTACCGGAAATGAGGATGTAACAACCTATATATGGGGTGCATCACGCTCAGTTGCCGATTTGTTGCGATTATATAAGGTTCAGTGGCGCAATGAGTCCTTAACCAATGACTAACGAGCTGGTGGTAGCCGGAATCATGAGCCAGGACATGCGCTTTGGCAAGCCGCCAGAGCCAGCAAGCTGTTGAGTCCCATGAAGCCGTGAATGCTTGTTTCCATTGTGGCTTCCCGTCCAAGGGTGGCCGTGTCAGCTCAATGGCAATTGGCCTCAATGTGTCATCGGCATTCAGATAAAATAGCGCCCTTGATCCGTACAATGTTGTGCCTTCAAGTTCTCGAACTTTTTTGACAAATGGTAGTAAGATGTCGTGGTAATCTAGGAGGAATAATTTCTTTTGTTTTACTGCCTGAATGAAAACAAGAATACAGGAATTACTTACAGCAATATATATATGATCATATCTTCATTAACTAGGTACATATATGGCGAAAACCAAAATCAAGACATCCAAGACTCAGCTAATTGTGACCAACACTAATACACTATATCCTACTATCTTTCTTTCTTTCTTTCTTTTTTTTAATTTTAAATTAAATTCTCTGTATTCGAAAGTTGTATTAGATTTTAATTAACATAGAATGTCATATTGGATTTTACAAAGAGAAAGTTTTGTAATTCTTATTATTTTATTTATAAAATTTGAATTTAAAATTTTATTTAAAAAAAATTAAATTCTTTTACTTAAATTAACATATTATTAATACTATATTCTACTATCTTAATCTTAGAGTTTTGATTCTTTTAATTAGCTATAT